CTGCAGGCTAGCTCCCACTAGCCCTGCCTGCCGAGGAAGCCGCAGTCTTGGCAGGGGCAACCCCAGGGAGGGCAGAGTTTTTCCCCCTCTGAGCAACACCCGCCCAGGTAGTCGGCTCCCTCGCAGCTGTCTTTGCTGCATTTGGCTGCGGATGAGTATCCGGGGCAGCACCCCCTCTCAGAATTGATGCTGCACTCAGATCTGCTGTCACATACTTGACAAACCTCTCACAGAAGATTCGGGCAAAGTTCTGACTGACTGGCTGCTTCTCCTCCTCAACCCAGCTGTCCAGAGTCTTCGCCAATCTGATGAGAGCCTTCTGCTGCAGGTTCTGTTGCTGCTGAGCCTCCTCAAACTGCTTCTGCAGCCGAGAGGTGGCCGTGGGGATGCTGTCGCTGGCTCCTTTGAGGACTGGGGGAGGCATTGTGACAGTCTTCCTCTGCCTCTTGCCAGCCTTTCCAGCGACAAAATTGGCCGGTGACTCCGGCTCCAGTGGCCTGGTGTAGGCCGTGTCGATGTCCTTGGGCGGACGGGAGGGCGTTGAGGGCTCCATGACCACTCAACCTGTGCAGTACACACACGTAGAGAGATCGCAGAGGGCGTGCGATGATATTGAACGGGTTGGAGGGTTAAAATTATACGAAAAACAGTTGGAAAAGTGGAAAATTCAAATGTACCCCTACGTTCGTGGGTAGTTGTAAGGATGCTTCTTGATCAGCTGAGTGTCTATGTTTGCTGGCCAAGGTGGAAGACGCGACCGTGGCGACACGCGCACAACGCCAACCCGAAGGAGTGAAAGAAGCCAAACTGTCATCATGGGCCAAGGTCGCAGGACAGGGAATTCCAGAAAAACCAGTGCCTAACCGAACCCTCCGCGAGATTACTGTCCTACGCCGGGACTGCGAAGCCCTCCCAGCTGAGGAGGCCACCCCCCCAGCGATTGTGGCAGCCGTCAACGCCAGAATTATGGATGTGACAAAGGGAAAGGTGCTTGCAGCAAGATGTCTCCCCAGTGGAGACATCATCCTGACAACCGACGCGAGGGAGACCAGGGAGGCCTTGACTAAGAGCAGCACATGGCTGGAAGTCTTGGGACAAAAGGCGAAGGCAAAGCACACCCTGTACCCAGTCATGGTTAAGGGAGTCCCAATGGGCAACACCAACTGGAAGGAGGAACAGCAAGCCATCAAGGCAATTTACGCACAGAATGAAGGACTCCGAAGAGGGGTACAAATTGAGAGACTGTCTCTACGACGGAATGCCAGCTTGCAGGCAAAGGTTGGGTCTCTTGTACTCAGCGTCACCTCGCCTCAGCAAGCCAACCTACTAGTAGACAATGGATTGATAATAGACAGCATATTTTGTGACGTTGAAATCTTCCACCGGGAAGCGCAGGTCACCCGGTGCTTTAACTGCCATGAGTATGGGCATACGGCCAGATTCTGCAGGCAGGCCAAAAGGTGCGGGTTCTGCGCGGCAAAAGAACATGACGACAAGGAATGCCCAGCACGAAAAGCTGGGGAACAACCGAGGTGCGCAAATTGTAGGGGAACACACCCAGCCTGGGTCTCTAAGTGCCCTGAGAGGGAGAGGGCATCAAGCAGGGCCCGTACAGCATACATGGAAAGACCCCGTAGGTTTATGGAGCCAAAGCACA